GGAAACAAAGTGTTATGTTTCTAATGCTAGATTCGAAAGAGTTAGAAACAAAGGTATGGTCTTTTGAATCTGGGTATGATAATGTGTTAAGTGTTTGATAATTTTCACAAAATCAAAGTTTTTCCTAGCTACCAACGGCCTCTGGATATGTTGTCCAGCCCCTTAGACATGTTATGGAGCTTCTTATTTATAGGAGAAGTTGGTTGAGGTTTAGGAGGGAAAATAAAACAATTTGAACAAAATGGGTAAACTGTTTTTGTAGCTTTCGACGGGCAGCGTTCGTATGCCAAATTGGTGCAAGAATAGGGGCAGTGTTTCAGGACTATTGTGCAGCAGTTTTGGAGTGTTATGGCCAGTGTATCAGGCCTAAACTTGGCAGCAAGCATCTTTTGATATCTCCACCTTTCGTTTTGACCACCTTCGACCAGATCTTTTTTCAAACAATACTATTTTATTTTCACCCAATAAGTGTCTTTCGAATGGGTCATATGTGTATCTTTGAAAGGGCCAAATATGTGTCCTTCGATTGGACCATATACATCATTTGTGTGCATCATTTGCAATTCTTCGAATGGGCCACCAAGACATATCTTTCGAATGGGACACCCATACATGTCTTTTGAATGGGACACCCAGACATGTCTTTTGAATGGAACACCCATTGTATATCATAGTGTAGGAATTATGTGTGATCGAAACAAACTGTTTCCAAAGGAAATATTACCCCTTCAAAGCTAGCGTGAATGGCCAATGTTTTGTAGGCGCCATTACCTTGTGAATGTTAGCCATGGGGAAGCCTTTGCCTTATACATACTGGCCTGAAGGGAATCCTGGCTTTTGTGAATCAAAGGGAGCATGCAAAGGGGCAAATGGCTTCTGAATCGAAAGGAAACTGCAGGAGGCCATTGCCTTGTGCCTACTGGCCTGAAGGAGGTCCTTGCCTTGTGAATTTTGAGCAAGTGTAAAGAAGGCATTTGTCTTCTGAATCAAAGGAGGCTAGCAGGAAGCCACCAATTTTTGAATCGAAAGACATCAACAGAAGGCTTTCCCTCTTTGAATTGAAGGAGACTACAGGAGACTTTTTGCCTTGTGTCTACTGGCCTGGTGGGAGCCCTTTGCCTTGAAGCATGCAAGAAGGAGGTTATTGCTCAAACGAAGGCTATATGCAGCTAGCCATTACTTTTTGAATCAAAGCAAGTATGGAGAGAATTATTTGTCCAATCAACACAGACATGCAGGCATCAAATGTCCAATCAAAGCAGGCATGCAGACCACCATTGCATTGTGAACCATGTGAGGCCAATGGTGCAGTCTAAGCTTGCATGCAAGAGGTCATTGTTTTGTGGATCGAAGGAGACACAAAGGATGAATTGAAGGAGGCACACAGGATGGATCAAAGGAGGCATGATGGAAGTCCTAGTCCAATCGAAACAGTCTTGAAAGAGACTAAAGTCCAAACGAAGCAAGGGGAATCGAAGAAGGCTTGAAGGAGACTAAAGTCCAAATGAAACAAGGGAAATCGAAAGAGACTTTGAAAGATACCAAAGTCCAATCGAAGCCTTGTGAATCGAAGAAAACTTGTTTGTTTCTTCAAAAAATTATTTTACCTGCTTTCCCATTTTTTAACAGTTTTCTCTTTAACTTGATGCTGGAAAAACCAATTGTACTTGTGCAAGCTTGAATTTTTGAGAATCCCTGTGAGGAAATGTTTTGAGAAATGAGAGGGCAAATTTTGGAGTACAACAGTCACAATATGGGGGTGAAAGTTGGAACTTAGTATTTCTCTCAAGATTATTCCATCAGTAGTTCGACGTGGACAAGGCATTGAAGATTTCTACATCAGAAGTTAGCACAAGCACAAGAATTCAACGTCAGAAGTTAGCACAAGATTTATACGCAAGAAGTTAACACGAGATTTCGACGTCAAAAGTTAGCACAAGGTTTCAACAACAACAATTAGCGCGAAGAAACAAGTCCAAAACAAATAACTGTCTTTAAGGGTGTGCATTTAAACCGGTTTATCTAATCCATAACCATAAATTTAGTTACCAAATTAAAAAAATCCAAATCACATTTGTTATTAACTGATCCAATCCATTTTAAGAAAACCAATAACATTTAGTTAGCCATTTATGAAATCCGGTTATAATCCAATTCACTTAAAATTTACAAAAGATCTTTTCTCTTATCTTTCACAAAGACAAAATCATTATATGTATGTTTAGATCCCAACATTAAATATTCTACAATAAATATTATTCTCTCTCAGTTGTAAAACATAAACTCTTAAGTGTATTTCAAATATATTTAAAAATCTTATATGTATGTTTAAAATGAATTTTTACTTTTTATATTTCAAAACACTTTATAATATTAATTAAGATTAATTAAGATTAACAGTTTTTTTATGTTAATATTTACCGAAAAGGCACAGTTCTAGACACTTTTCATTTCATTGTGTTAGTAAACAATTAAGAGAGAGAATATTATTAAAAAATAAATAAAGTAGTACTCATAAATTTATAACATAACAAAATAAAACGGTTATGATGTTTGAAGGATCATGCAATGTTTATCATTACAATATATATATATCAAATTTTCAAAATCGATTAACGCAAAAATATTGATCAAAGCAATAAAGAAAAACTGATATATTGATATAGACCGGTTTTAAGACCGGGTCAAATATAAAAGTGGTTTTTAATAAAAATTGGATTTAAACCAAATTGATCCAAATATAAACTGGTTTTGAAAAAATAAACTAGTTTTATAAAAACAATTTCAAGAACCAAACCAAACTATATATATAGTCCAATTCGATTTGATTTATGAACCATGCACACTCTTAAGTGTCTTTTAGTCTTATCCAAAGGAACACGCGGAAGCAAATCCAAAGGCGGAAAATATGCAACGAAGACGTGTCAATTTCTAAAGAGAAAGTCGTTGTAGACAGTTAATATGTATTAATATAAATAAGAGTTCTAGTGTTAGGATTAAGAGTGTTAAATTTATTTCAAAAACTCACATACTCAAAGTATCCGAGTGAAAAAAGTGAAAAATGAGTAACTTAAACTAAATGTATGATTTTAAACACCACTTTCTTTATAAATAAGCAAAATCATTTACGTTAAGTTATCTTGTTTCCAGTCTTTCCTTTTCTTTCACATTACCCTTTTTCACCAAGATTTCGACATAGTCGAAATCCTTTACTTTCTAGCAATTTTCACTTGTCTTTTACATTGACCTTTTTATCCATATTTCAACCACGTTCTAATCTTTCACTTTTTCTCCAAATTTATTTTCCTTGCATTTTTAAGCAATTATTTTAACTCCGCACTTTATTTTTATTTTTCGCCTTACTTTTACCAAGATTTCGACCAAGTCGAAATCTCTTATTTTCTACAAATTTTACATTTTAAACTTAGTAGAAACCTTTAACTTCACACCAAACATTTAAGCACCAAACATTTAAGCAAAGTCTCAAGAATTTATACACATATGTCCTAAGATTAACTAGTCAATTAACTAGTCAAATAACCATTTCGAAAGACTAGCACTTATTTATTAAATTTCATGATAAACACCTACCACCTTAAGATTTTTTGTGAATATGTGGTATGTCTCTCACAAAACTGTGTTACTAAAAAAAAATCAAAAATCTCAAAATAGAAAATGTTTCTCACTTGACCCCCGAATTGCGCCAACACAACTTTTTGGATAACAATGGAAGAAGAAAACTTGTAATTTGATCACAATTCTGCAAGGTGAGTAGATAACTTGTTCCGCAAATAACAATTGAAGAAGAAAACTAGTGATCCGCTCACAACTATACAAGTGGGTAGATAACTTGATGCGCAAGTTAGTTGAGTTGATGTTAGTTATTTTCCATTTTGTTACAGTCATGTCATATGAACTATGAGCTAACACAATCAATTAGACAACTCAAACATCAATAAATCATTGTATAATTTATTCATTTCTAATGAAAATCAATTTTTACTCATTCTTTTGTAACTTCTGCATTCTAGTGCAATTGTTTATAAAAAAAACGTGGTAATTCATTGTAATTATGACAATCACACTAAATCTTAATGGGTATTGTGTTTTGTAGAAGCTTCGTAATATAATTTTGTCAAAATATTGTGCTATAATCCTAATCCACTTCTTTTTCTCCACTTCAAATCTACACTCTCGACCATTATTTTGATAGAGTCCGCATCTATGACTATTTCTTGAGAAACAAGAAAACGTATAGGCGTAATTGTTGCAAAATTTGAGTTAAATACATTCTGACTTCATGAATAAAACAAACACACTTTACACTAACATTTAGATTTGATTCAGGAAACCTTTATATTTCAATAAATAGTACTCTTAAGCCACCCAAGAACACAATGACATTCACATGCAATAACTTTCCCAGTTGAGCTCACAATTTCATATAAAAAACACAACTTATGACTGTCTAACCACAACTCAAAAAATGAACAAGATTAACCAACACAACAAAAGTACAAAAACATACACCGAAAACTATCTAATTATTCGCATATACAATTCTAATTGAGAAACATTTTTCTTCTAAATCTCAACAAGATTGAGATAAGTGGAGAAGATTAAGGTTATGATCAAGAAAGAAACTTGGTTATATATCCTAACCTCCTGCTGCAGACAAAACTGAAAACAAAGGCTCTTTGAATGCGAGTGTGACACAAGAAAACAGCCTCTACGTGCCAGTTCCATCCCCAATAATGAATGATGAATCCCTCTGGAACCCTCTAGAGTATACTACAGACAACTAACTGGGTGAATCTACTTCTTGACTTACTTGTCAGCAGAAACATATAGCATCATCATTGAAAATATGAACAATGAAGTGGCTGCAGCAAGCTAAAGCCAGAATATTAACAAAATCTTACAGCTTTCTCATATATAAGTGCAGGACAACCCAAGTACCAAGCAGTGTAGTTTGATGATTCACGATGTACCGATCAGTGTCACCTTTCTTCTTGCAGAAGCGGTTGAGATGCGCTGTCTGGAGAAAAAAATCCCAGCATGTCAAAAAGATTATTAGGGATGATAAGACAGACAGACGAATTACAAAGTTCCAAATTCAAGATCTGACTTTGATGCAATTCAAACATGATAATGTATGTTAAAAGAAACCATTTTTTGACAAGTTTGATACTTACCTCTAGGATTTTGTTGTCCATTGGGCCTAGTTTTGCCAGTTTTCTCTTTGATTTCGGCTAAGATCAAAGGGGACAGGAGAAGGCCAGCAACAAATGCACCTAGAACTAGCATCATGAAAACATCATCCCATCCCCTCGTTGACAGGAACCCGGTAAGAAGAGGGCCAATAGCTGCACCAACCGATCCAGTACCGTCTATGATTGCAGTCACTGTGGCCAGAGCACGGGAATCACCTTTGAGAGATTTATGTGTACCCAAGTCAGCAGAGACAGCGGTAGTGATAAGTGAATAGGGCCCATTTACCAATAATCCAGTTACCATCATAAGTCCAATATTGGCATGCATAGAAACATTTCCATAGGTTCGGTATAAAAGCATAGCAGGAATTGCTGCATACATGAAGCTAGCTGCGGTTATAGCACGGGCGCTGAGTTTATCAGACATGTAGCCAGCAAGTATTCCCCCAAAAATACCCCCCACGTCGAATAAGGTTGAAAGGTTTCCAGCAGCTTTAACAGACATATACTTCCCGCCGATTTCTGCAACATGAAAATTAAAAATTTTATGGCAGATAATGGTTTATGACCAATGGAATTTGAAATATTAGTCTAGTTTGAACAATAAAAATGAAATGAACCAAATTAAACGTGTTGTAACATACTAACATCTAACTATAACATTGAATCAGTACTTTAGTTTCTAACACTATAGAGTCAAGCAACTTAAAAATCTTCAATCATACTCGTTCTCACCTGTTCTCATCCTACAATTTTGGACTAAATTGACATACTGAAAATGACTACATGTAATAAAAATATGATTTCAAGGACTTTAGTGATAGAGTTTGAGAAATTAGAGAGAATTGGAATAGATTGAGAATCTCTCGTTGTATTGAATGAATCAAGAGATACAGGGAGCTCTCTATATAGAGAGAGAAAGGGAAAGCCTTATCTAGATCTAACTAACTGAGGCTGTTATAACAAACTTGAACAGCTCAGCAATCTAGAATAACAGAAAATATAGAACTAACTGACTGACTCTATCTTAACTACTCTATTAGTCCCCCTTAGAAGCTGAGGTTGGTCTGGATAAGTCATTCTTGTTTAACACCTTCAGCTTTACTCGCAGAGGCACAAATTTAGCAGCAGATAGAGGTTTAGTCAGAATATTAGCCCACTGATCTTGAGCAGGAACATGAGCCACTGACAGGCTTTTGCTTGGGACTTTTTCTCGCACAAAGAAGATGTCAAGCTCCATATGTTTGGTCATGTTGTGGAGAATTGGGCTGTGGGCAAGAGTGACAGTACTCAAGTTGTCACATAGAATCTTAGGCACTTGAAAAGGGCAGTGAAGCTCCTTGAATAATGACTGAATCCAGATTAGCTCAGCAGCCAATTGTGCCATACTGCACTACTCAGTTTCAGCACTTGACCTAGCTACAAGCTGCTGCTTCTTAGAACACCAGGAAACCACATTTGGACCAAAGAAAGACACAGGCCCCTGAAGTTGACCTTCTGTCATCAGGGTCTGATGCCCAGTCAGCACCACAGAACCCTACCAACTGCATAGGCTGCTGATTAGGTGCAGGTTGAATAAGCAGGCCATGCTGAAGAGTACCACACAAATACCTTAAGATCCTTTTGACTGCCTTCCAATGTTCCTCTAAGGGATTTGACAAAAAATGGCAAACTTTATTCACAGAAAATGATATTTCAGGCCTAGTCAATGTGGCATATTGCAAGGCACCAACAACTGATCTGAACTGGGTTGGATCATCTACAGTGGCAGAACCAACCTTTGACAGTTTCCTGGTAGATACCATAGGAGTGGGCATGCTATTAGCATTTAGCATATTTACTTTTGAGAGCAAATCAATAAGGTATTTAGTTTGAGATAGAAGCAAGGAGCCATTAGGTAGATGAGAAACTTCAATACCTAGGAAGTAGTCTAGCTGTCCCGACTGTTTTAGAGAAAATCTGTCATCAAGATGCTTGATCAAAGAGGTAATAAATGAGGCAGAATTCCCTGTGATGATCATATCATCAACATACACCAGAATCGTGATCTGAAGACTGCCTTGATGAAGCAGAAATAGGTTGGGATCACACCTACTAGCCTGAAAACCATGCTGAAACAGAGCACTCTTGAGTTTGGCAAACCAGGCCCTAGGGGCCAGTTTTAACCCATAGATGGCTTTGTTTACCTTGCAAACAAGAGTCTTATCATCTGATTCAAAGCCAGGAGGTTGTTCCATAAAGACTTCCTCCTCAAGAGTGCCATTTAAAAAGGCATTATTACATCAATCTGCTGAATAGTCCATTTATTAGTGACAGCAATAGTTAAAACGATTCTGACTGTGACTGGCTTGATGACTGGTGAAAAGGTTTCTTGAAAATCACTTCCAGCCCTTTGATGAAAGCCTTTAGCCACTAATCTGGCCTTGTATCTATTTATGGAACCATCAGGATTTTCTTTGATCCTGAAAACCCCCTCACAGCCTATAGGCTTCCTAGAATCAGTGACTTTCACCAATGTCCAGGTCTGATTTCTCATCAATGCCGGATATTCCTCTTTCATTGCTTGAAACCAATGGGGAGTAGCCAAGGCTTGGTCAATAGAAGTTGGTTCCATTTGGGTCAAAAGAAGTGTGGGATGAAGTCTAGGAAGAGTAATGCATCTTTTAGCCCTGGCTTGCATAGGATGCACATTGAGAGGATTAACAAAAGGTTGATTATGGTGAGTAGTGCTAGGAGATATGGTTTGAGAGGAAGAGGGAGAGAGACTACTTGCTTCAGCAGGATCAGAAAGAATAAGGGCAGGGGAACAAGGAGGAGAAGCTGTGGATGAAGTAGATATGACAGGTTACTCAGGGTGATTAGAAGCTAAGTAACCTGACTGGAATTATAGTTGGTTGGGGATGAGGATAGGTCAGCTTGACTAGAAGCAGGGGAGAGAATTAAAGAAGGCACAGACCAGGCAGAAGCACTAGGAGAAGAAGAGGAAGATATGGGATGTTGAGAGTGAGTGGGAAACATAGTAGAATAGGGGAATTTGGATTCATGAAACACAACATCTTTAGAGATGTAAATGTGTCCATCAGAAGCAAGGCACTTGTATCCCTTATGAGCTGTGAAATAGCCAAGGAAAATGCACTCTTGGGACCTATAAGCTAACTTGTGAGAATTATAGCGACGAAGAAAGGGATAACAAGAGCAGCCAAAGACCTTAAGGTTAGAATAGTCAGGGGGCTTGTTATGAAGTTTAGAGTAAGGTGAATAATTGTCAAGTGTGGGGCTGGGAATTCTGTTAATAAGATAGGCAGCTGTGACAAATGCATAGTCCCAAAATTTCAAAGGAAGGGTAGATTGAGCAAGGAGAGTGAGTCCTGTTTCAACAATGTGTCTATGTTTGCGTTTAACAAGACCATTTTGATAGTGAGTATGAGGACAAGTAAACCTATGAACAATGCCCAGCTCAGTGAGATACTTGGTGAGAGGCCTAAATTCTCCTCCCCCATCACTTTGAACACAATTGATGAGACAATTAAACTGCAGCTCAACCATTTTCTTAAACTGAATAAACTGAATTAAGGTGTCAGATTTGAGTTTAAGAGGGAACACCCAAACAAATCTAGAAAAAGCATCTACACAAGTCAGAAAATATGTATAGCCACCTGTAGATTTCATAGGGGCAGGACCCCAAAGATCACACACAACTAATTCGAAGGGATGGGTATACACTGTGGTAGACAAGGTAGATGGTAACCTGTGGGATTTGCCAAGACAGCAAGCACGACACAGTTCTGTAGAGGGTTTGGGAAGGATAGGGAGATTGCATAGTTTGAAAACCTCAACAAGAGCATGATGATTAGGGTGTCCCAATCGAGTGTGCCATAGAACATATTTATTAGTTGCTATGGATGATGAGCTATTTGAATGTGGAGAAGATAAATTAGTGCTGCAAGTAGTAGAATTGAGAGAAGGAGAATGAGAAAAACTGCTCACGGTATTATTATTAAATGTATCAGGATTACAAGGAGCAATACAGTGAGACATACAATTTGGCAAACAACTGGAAACATTTCTATTGTATGCTACAGAAGAACAAAGAAAACTACAGCTAGCACTACAATTATTCTTGGAAACAGGCTGAGCATAACAAGACTTAAGGCTTGGAGAGGACTTGGACAGTTGAATGGCAGAATTAGGAAACTTGTAGAGGCCATCATCTCCAACAAACCCACTAAGTAATACTTCAGAAGTAGCCTGAGATTTGACGACACAGAATTTAGGGTGAAATTCAAAAAACACATTGTTATCTTGAGCAAATTTGCTCACACTCATCAAGTTTTTAGTGATGTGAGGAACAAGTAAGAGATTTCTAAGGGTAAGGGATAGATTAGGATTGTTCAGTAAGGAAAAGGACATGGAACCAATAGAATTGATAGACAAACGTTGGCCATTTCCCATGAAGACTTGCTCAGTTCCAGGTAATGAAACAGAATCAGACAAATTAGAGGTCTCAGGAGTAACATGATTATTGAAATTAGCTTCAGAACCTGCATAAAATGTTTGTGGTGCTGAAGATCTAGGAGGTGCCGCTCTGGGAGCAGAATAACCAAACGGAGAGGGATACATAGGATGAGATGGCATGAGAAAAAGATTATACTGAGCCCGCTGAGGAGGATATGCAGCACCACTGAAGTTAGAGTAACGATAATAACAGATAGAAGCATCATGTCCAGATTTGTGACAAATCTGACATTGTGTTTTACCAAAGCGCCACCGCGACCATAACAACCACCTCCACGGCAAGAACGACCTCCACGAGATCCATAACCATGATTTTCAGCATTAGCAGTTACGTGACTTATTCCTTGAGGAAACGCGTCCGTCGTAGCAGATTGATCAGTAAGAACCGGCGTAGACGATGGCACTGCCTGAGTCATATTCACCGTCGCAGGCTCCGTAACGACGGCTTTACGATGCTTCTCCAGACGCGACTCATGAGCTAGCAGCGACAACTCCAGTTCATCTAAGGAGCTTAACTCTTCTTTACTGTTAACAGCTGCAACAATGGAATCGTATTCCTCAGGAAGAGAATCGAGAACAATCTCAATTAGGTTGCGAAGAGGAACCGGATCCCAATTGATACCAGTGATTCACTGATTTCATGCATACGAGCCATGAGTTCCCCAATCGTGAGGTTACCTTTCGTGAGACGACGTAAATCCGATTGCAACTGACGCGCTTTGGTGGAAAGAAGCGTGTTGAAGTAACGATGAATCTCCGTCCAAACTTGCCAAGAATGCTTGCAGTCCACAAGCTTCGGTAGAAGCGAATCGGAGATGGTGGATAGCAGCCAGGTACAGATGAGTGTGTCCTGTTGTTCCCATCCTAGGTACGCAGAATTCGCACCGTGAAGTGTTCAGTCAGAATCGGTCGGTGATCGTTGAGGAATCACCGAAACTGTAACAAACCGTTGCAGGCGATGACCGCGAACAACGCCATCAATCTGTTTCTTCCATTGCTTGAAGTTTTTATCATCAAGCTTCCCAGAAATCAAATGCGAAAGCTTCACTTGTGAAGACGGAAACAGAGACTCCATGGATCGGAAAAAAATCAAGCTCTAATACCATGATAGAGTTTGAGAAGTTAGAGAGAATTGGAATAGATTGAGAATCTCTCATTGTATTGAATGAATCAAGAGATACAGGGAGCGCTCTATATATAGAGAGGAAGGGAAAGCCTTATCTAGATCTAACTAACTGAGGCTGTTATAACAAACTTGAACAGCTAAGCAATCTAGACTAACAGAAAATATAGAACTAACTAACTGACTCTATCTTAACTACTCTATTATTTAGAAACAAAGTTGACAACATGAACCATTTTTGTAATTCACTCAGAATAGACTTCTGCTAAGTTGACAAGTATCTAATTGTTTTGTTCAGCGGTATAAAAAAAATGATTTTAAATGAATTTATTTAGGCTAATAGTGGTTCATATTTAGATACATTCATGTAAAATGTAAAAGTTAGTTGAACAAAAAATTCAAAGCAAGAAACTGCTTGTAGAGACAACATGTTTGATATCATGGTTAGTTTGCTAAAATCATTGTGGACGTGTAGCTTTTGAAAAATCATGGTGGCCCATCTTGGTTTCATCAAACACAACACAAAACTCCAAATTAGTATCTAGAACTAATTCTGTAATCAATTATACTCCAAAACATTCAAACAGATCAAAATCAATTGTACAGCTATAGAATCAGTTTCACCTCCTCCAAAAAAAAGTGGAACCAAACATACACACACTAATAACTAAACCGAAAATGTAGAATGCCATATAGGTAATGGAAGATGGATTACCTGTCTGAGTCAAGTAAAAGGGCAACCAGTAGAGAAATGTATAAGCCACAAGCTTAGCAAAGAAAAGACACATAGCAAAAGTAATAACACCGGGTATCATACAAGCTTCAAAAAGTCCAATACTCTTCCCTCTTCCATCTCTCCCATCACCAGACCTTTGATTCTCCCTCTCCCTCTCTCCCTCCCCTTCAACCACACCACCAACAGTCTTAACCCTCTGCTCCTCTTCATCCCCATGAATATAACAAAACCCAACATCCTCCGGATACGCTGGCAAGAACAAAAAAACAAAAACCCCACCAAACATAATCAACAACCCAAGCAAAACAAACGACCAACCCCACCCATAATCCAAAACACTAGCAGCAAGAAGCGAACCACTAATATTCCCAACCGAAGTATGCGCATTCCACACCCCCATTATCAACCCCCTCTTCCTCTTCCCAAACCAGTTCCCAATAACCGCCACAACAGAAGGCCAACCCGTCGCTTGAAACAACCCCGCAATCATTTGCATCAACAAATAAAACCAAAACTCGTGAACATTCATAAAAAAACCCATCCCAAATAAACCAACAAAAATTCCACTTCCAACCATTCCCGTTGTCAGAAACAAACGAAGATCAAGAGAATCGCCTAAATGTCCCGCAACATACATACCCAAAGAATAACAAGCTAAGAACGCTAAATCGATTTCACCTAGTTTCGAAACACCGTTGGGTCCGTTAAACGGTGCCCATCCAGAATATTTATGTTTTTTGTTTGCGTCTGGACACAAAACGCTTTTGACGATTCCGGTAGGTTTTCGTGAAGCGTGGTAACAAACGTAGGCGATGAAAGTGATGAGTAAAACCATGTAACGATACGTTTGAAGACTCCATTCTTTGCCTCTGAATAGGTTTATTCCTGGTGGAGGGCCTCTTGACATTGGTGGTTTTGAGTTTCAATTTGAATTTGGTTGATTGATTAAGCATGCAGGTGCTTGCAGAAGAAATGTAACAGAAAAATGGGAAGATAGATTAGGAGAGAGAGGGAGAGCGAGAATGGCGGGAGAGAGGAGGAAAGAATGGTGGCAAGTGGTTAGTTAATGGTGTTGCACGTGGATTTTGTGACGGATGGTGAGGAATTACTCGGCCGTGTTTCACCGTTCTATACGACGGAGACACCTCGCGTCTTTTGAATTAAATATATTCACGTTTTCTATAAGTGCAATTCCATGCGAATATTCCTTTTTTTTTCAATTAGATACTATAGGATATTCCTTCCGATGAGTATAGTTTAAAATTTATATATAGATTAAAGAATATAATTATATTATCATGAAATATTATATTTTTATTGAATTAAATTTATTAATTTATTAGAAGTAATATACGAGGAATAATTATAAAAGATAATTAGAAAAATTATTATTATTATTATATTAAAAAGTGAAAATGTTATTTATTTTAAAATAATTTTTTTTCTAAAATAGCACTTATTTTAAAAAAGAAGAAAAATAATATTTTTATTAAATTTTACACTCTTATTCAATAAAATTTTATTATTTAATTATATATTATATAATTTATTTAAAAATAATATTATGATTCACTTAACATAAATATGATTAATTGATAATATAGATATATATCTTTTTTTACTTAGATCATAATGGAAGTAGATTTATTATGGAGAGTCTTAAAATTGTAATAAAAAATTTTGGAAGTCTTAAGTGTCTTAATCTCACATAAATTTAAATTATGTATGATTAAGTATGTTTATGTATGATTAAGTATGTTTTTATACTCCGTAAGCCGAAATTGAATTTATAGAATTAATTTTGATAAATTTCATTTTATTTAGAAGTACGATGAATCATACTAATTAAAGTTGTTAAGTTTTTTTATAATTTTTTAAACCAATTTTGAGAGTATATTTGTAATTATATCATTTGCTTTTTCTTTAAATTTTTTATTTTAATTAATCTTATTAATTAAAATTATTAAGTTTTTTTATAATTTTTTAGAGTCAATTTTAAAGTTATGTTTGTAATTATGTCATCTATTTTTGTATATATATTATTAAATATTTCTCTTTTATATTTATTTTTAGTTAACAAATATACTATTTTAAATTTTGTTTAAACATTAGTACATATATTATTATAATTTTATAGTAACACCACTAACTTTCCGTGACCAATACTAGTGTAGATTTATATTTAGATACTATATAAAAGTGATTCTCATTCATGTTGTTGGAATAGTTTGGATTAAAATCATTATTAGATGTGTGATTACTAAAATGGGTTTTAATTGTATTTAAAATTATATTTTTTATATTATAGATAATTATTTAAATTTAATAGAAAAATTAAAGATTAGTAATAAAAAAATTCAATTAAATATTATATCTATTATAATAAATAAATTATATTTAAATATTTATAATTATTCAACGCATAATATTTTTCTTTATGTGCTTAATTAAAAATTGGGTATATTTTAATAGTAAAAAAATACTAAAGGGTATTTTAATTGTAACAAAAAAAAGAGCTTTGAGCTCAATGTCTCTTCATGTCTAACTTAGAGACTATTTCTTCAAACCATGAAAGAAAAAACGTAAAGTGTCTGGAAAAAAAATGGGTCGCTAATTCTATGATATTTTTGTCTAAAATATAAATTTTTTGGCATCAAATTGAGAATCGGTTTTAGCTCACCGTAGAAGTTAGAAATTGAAGCTTCAAGGTGAACGTGCATGTAAGGCTAAAAGCAATTGGATTTTGTTGAACCCAAACATCATAATTTACTGAGAAATCATGTTTCAAAACTACAAACATGCATATGAGGACGGAAAACGTGGATCCAAACACATACTAATATTTATTACTTATTCGTTACGGAATTAGAAACTATAATTAATCAATGAATCAGTGATTGTGATAGATAGCGGTGAATCTAAATTTCTAATGTGAATGAGGAGAGTTTGACATACAATACTTAAGTCAATAGGTGAGGAAGAAAAGTAAATTAAATTCTTGTTTGAAATTGTGTTATTGGATTCTTTGTGCTTATCCTTTATATAGTTTGAAATTGCCCTAAGCCCTTGCTTTTGCATGGCATAGAAAGGAATTGTCATATTTGTCTCGCATGTCGACCCCTCTCTTCAAATGTTCTAAAAAGTCAAAAGAAGACATTAGTGTTTCTTGGAAATTTGTGCCTTTAGTGTGTCATGCTTCAAATGTCTTTTCGGAGGTACTCTCATAATGACCTTGGCAAACTGAAACACTTGAGTGTTATGTGTATGTGGCTTGAAACATTAATAGGGCATATTCTCCTCAGTATGCTGTCACGCAGTTTTTGAAGAGTCAGTTTCTTGTTTCTTTGAGGAGTCTTTCATGCTTCAATGTTGTACTGGTCAAAAAGTACAGGTGTACATGGTATCCCTACAAGGGTATGGGTACTTAGAGGCCTTAGTATATTTATAACAATTTAGGGATAGTTAGGGCTTACCCACGGTCGTGGGTACTTCAAGACCAAGTACTGGATGGAAATAACTGCCCTTAGCATGTTGATGGCGGGTCATACTAGGATGATATTATAGGATAATAAGGCGTCTACAATAAGGTAGTTGACGTTTATCACCTTTGCGTATGCTTCCTCACCACATGTTATCTTTAGGGCCATATGGCTCTTTACATGTACATGTTTGTCTGACAACCTTATTAATGAGCCATTAAACACTTTGACATTGTTGGGATTGAGATGAAGTTTCTAGAAAGCATCCCAGAACCGGATTGTCGTACTCTGGTTTTGTCCCATGTATTTCATTCATTATCCGACATTTCATTATTTTTTCATCTGGGTATGTCGTGTTTTAGTCTAATGCATACTTTTTGATACAATGGACTTGAAGGAGAAAAGTGTTGGTTGTAGCTACTGATATGGTTGTGGTGTTACTTGTGAGGCGTATTTTTCTTCTGTTGCATGTGCCTCTGATGTGTGAACCTGTGATGTTTAGAATAGTTTGTCTTCTGGTGATTTGGGTCTTCCCTTAAGGAGGAGGATGATTTTGGTATGACAGAGGGAGTTATGTATATATACTCTAATCACTAACTACTGGATGATATTGAGGATATCTCTTCCACGTGATGTCTTATAAGATGTTTTTTTTTACATCTTGCCTGGAGCCTGTTGAGGATGTGTTTTGTTCCGCTGGATATGTATCTGATGAAGGAACTCCAATAGACTTGTGTGTTCATTGAGTTTTGGTTCAAGAAAGATCTACTCTTGGAATAGTTTGAGTTGTTGTCCAGATAAGTGATAAATATGTGTATTATGGTCAACGTCTCTTGAGTCTCTCTCGAGACCCTTCAAGCTCTCATCTAAGATATAGATGTCTAGTTACTCACATCCCAGATTAATAAAGCAAGATGGTGCTAGTCATTATAGAAGTACAAGACCAGTTGGGAGTAAGATAAAGAGAAGAGGTTGTGTTTAATCTTTCACTCTCTGATCAGTGATTGGTAAATACTCTTATCATGTATAAAGTAGCCAAATATACTTGATATTTCTCTCAAGTCCACTCATAATGGTACTTCTAGTTGTGAAAAGAGCTCATAAGAGAAAATGATCAAGATGAAGATACTCCGGAAGTGACAAATATCTATAGAAAGACAAGAGCAATTTATTTTTGTTCTTGAAGAGCTTATTTTCTGATGTAGGTGATTTATTTTCACCATCTATTCTCTTGTAACAATAGCTCTCTGATCCTAAAGCTTGATCAAGTTTGTTAGGATACGCTCCTTTGCAAGGAAGGTTGATAGGACTTTGCCAGTTAAGTCGGCAAGAGAAAGCCATAATAGTTAAAGGCAAGTTGAGTCAAGGATGTCAGTATTGACGTCTCAACATTGTCCTTGACAAGGGAAAATACATGATTTGTGTCTCTATAGTGTTGATATCCTCTAGATCGTGTTTATGGCCATATGAACAAGGATTTAAAATCAATTGTTATTTGTGACATCCACAAGTATTTAATTGCTTATCCTTTATTTTTCATTCAAGAGATCTTAAGTCTATATGTTACACCAGGGTACAATATCATTAGTTGAGAAATCTCAAGAACATGTCCCATGAATTTGATTAATGCCTGTCAAGTGAGAGTCCTGAAAGACAGATATAGGTGTATGTTCTCCTTTTGCATAAGTATCATATGCGTAGTAGTCAAAAGATCCTTAATTTGTCTTGAATAAAGAGGATGATGTAGGTGAAGACATCATCAGTTTGGTGAATATCCTTGGGTAAATTTATTTATGATCTAATTTAGAGGAGCACGGGAGCCAAGCCTCTACCTCTGAAGGAGTTTGTAGTATTCTGCTAAAGGAGTGTTGAAGATTTCTCTATTGGGATATGGAAGTTGAGATCAAAGGCATATAACTATTGCTCAAACATCTTGAAGAATTGTCTGCTCAATGATAGAAGAATCTAGTGGAGAAATGTTCTTGAAGATCGATTAAGCAGGATGGATAATGTCTACTCAAACTTGATATCTTGATCAAATCTATGAGAACATGAACTCAAGCTCTGTTGGAAAAGATGTCTAAGGTAGGATGTGGTTTAAAAGCATGTAGATCTTCGAGACTATATCAGGCAGTATGGATTTCGTCATATAGCCTGTTAAGCGATTGATGTTCCGAAATCATGTTGAACATTTGGATGTGTTCTCTGAAGGTGTTGTATGAAGTGGAGTTGTATCATCTTGGGATAAGTTAATCTTCTGTTGAGAGTTTGGCTCACGAGTGTGTAAAGAGCTATAAGAGTTCTCTAGACTTATGTGAATCATTCAGTAGTTGATATTCAAAGGAACTATAAACTTCTTGGCGTTTATATACTTTAGTTGGATTCTCATCTAAGTTGTTTGGTATGAGCATTCCAGAATTCTGGCTGG